TTAGCGAAATGTCGTTCAAGGATTCGCTATAGATATATATACATTTGTCGCATTTCTCATAAATCATATTTTTCTTGTTATGTATTTTAGATGAGATAAATCGCTCTAGCTGGATAAAGACTCTTTGTCAATAACAATAAATTTTGAGTTAATCCACTCTCGTATTTTGTAACGTGTCAATAAGGTCTTACCGATAGAATTGTCAGCGGGATAAAAAATAAATCGAATATACTATCTTCCTAAAAAAAAAAAAAGTAAAGTAAAGCAAGAAATCTTACAAAAGCAGCAGGCAACTATAAGGATTCATTAAGATGACCTATTACTAACCTTTTCTGACTTCTTTACATTCAATGTTAGCATATTATTATTATGTACGTGCATTCAGTTCTTCCAGTAATCAAACTTCTTTCTCTCTCTTTATAACTTCATTCTTCAATCTCGTAAAAATCCTAACGTAAAATATATCGTTAAAATTTTCTGTTTTTCGTTAATGCCACATCGCGTAATTTCCGTGATCATCCCTTGATCATTATGATTAATCGATAAATAAATTATGATTTAGTCAGTTAAAATATTTTATAAAATATCTTATTGTAATAAGCGTTTCAGTCCTGCGCTTTACACAAAATATATAACTTTAAATGAAAATTACTGCAGGCAAGTCTTGAATATATGAGTTACGACGATGTCGAGGAAAGCTTACGACTGTGATGATGGTGCGATGCAATCTTTAGGAAATAGGACATGATAATTCGGAAAAGTACATGATTACTATACAATTGTACAATAATTAGTACAACTGTCTCGGAAACATATAGAAAATTACAGAGATGCGGCATTGCTTCTTTCTTGTAAGTACGATTTTCCAACACTGATATAAGAGTTCTTTCAGTGTGTTTATTTTGAATTAGGATCATTAGTATTCATTTAACGGCGATTTCAACTCTATAAAGTTAGCAGGATCAAATCAGCAGAATCAAATCGAACCTATCGAAATTTTTGATACTCATTTTGTACTAAATTGTAGCATTAATGATTGATGAGCAGAATTTTGTACCGTGTAAAATAAATCCATTTAAAAAAAATCGTGGCACTGCTGCTAGCTTAATATCAAACTGGTAGAACCAATTCAAAATAAAAGAGGAAAAGAAAAATAATATCAGAAATTAATAGAATTAAATTTGTACTATTTTGTACTACCAAAAACAATTCTATATTATGTGCCATTTCCAAGAAAACAGTGGCGCTACTAGTTTAATATATATAAGCTGACAGGAGACCGTAAAAAAAACAACACAAGGGCAAAAATTAACACAATTGAATTTGTATTAATTTGTACCGTTGAAAGTAAATTAATATTTTATATGTTTTCTCCTTAAAATGACTTTATTAGTATATACAATACTTACAATCTATGAGGCATTCCACGTCAAATGTTCGCATGAGTGACGTTCTTTATGAATTTCTGCAACTTACAAGCGTCAATAATTTCACAAAAAAAATCACATTTTTCTCGCGAAACACGTGTCTCATATTATCTGTAGAATGTTATCTGTAGAATATGTTAGCAAATTAAAAAAAAATAAAATATCGATGTTTCAAAGGTGCACAGTTTGACATGGAATGCCTCATAGATTGTAAGTATATACTAATAAAGTCATTTTAAGGAGAAAACGTGTAAAATATTAACTTACTTTCAATGGTACAAATTAGTACAAATTCAGTTGTGTTAATTTTGGCCCTTGTTGTATTTTTTTTATGGTCCTGCTAGCTTAAATATTAAACTAGCAGCGCCACTGTTTTCTTGGAAATGACACATAATATAGAATTATTTTTGGTAGTACAAAATAGTACAAATTCAATTCTATTGATTTCTGATATTATTTTTCTTTTTTTCTTTTATTTTGAATTGGTCCTGTCAGCTTAATATTAAGCTAAGCACCGCCACGATTTTTTTCGAAATAGCACACGGCACAAAATTATCATTAATCGTACAATTTAGTACAAAATGAGTACTAAAAATTCCGATAAGTCCGATTTGATTCTACCGATTTGGTCCTGCTAGCTTTATAGAGCTGGCAATTTCACTTGTTTGCTTGTCTGAAATGCTTATTTGTTTATCCGACAATCCGACTCTCTTTATTTCATCTCTTCGGATCATTATTATCTACACCAATAAGACACCAATTTCGGAGCATCGAACGCCGTAACGCGCGCGTGTGATTACTCGGTGGAAACTCGGATACGAATGAAATGTATTTTCAGGCATAAGATTCAGCTGGAAAATTCTTTGGATCGGTGCCAACGATTCTTCGCATCTGTCGTGACGTCAGCTCGGCTCTGTTAACTATTTATCCGTCTACTTATCTTTTTTTTTTTGCCGTGAATATTGTGAGCCAGATATCCGTAATCGTGCAAGTGTTTATTAATCTTGATAAATAATTATTTTGTTTAATATAGCTTAACGCTATATTATATTAAATTGATCCTGTGCCGTACCATACCGTCGGATCAATTTTATATTTCGGGTTAATTAATAAATCACACCAATAAATTAATAATTTGGAACTAGAATTTTAAAAAATACTAAATTTAAAAAACATTTCAATAATAAAATTATCTCTCTCATAAAAATAGAATATATTGTGAGCCTATGGTTGCCGAATATTTTAATTTTATTTTAATTTACTCATCAAGCTCTCTTTTATAAGGAGCGTCGCGATAATCTCTATTTCTATCCCTTACAGAGAATGACGATGGAGCATGAATGTGTGATCCGTTCGTAAATTAGCTCATATAGTGACCTTACCATTTGAATCGTAGAAAGAGATTCACCGGTAGTAGAGATTAGCGCAGATATCCAGCCTTGTCTCTTCTCGCAAATGGCGTTTTACATTACGCATCACACTATGTCGAATTTAGATTCACGAAACAATGTTTTCAATGCATCGTCATTAAATCATCGCATTTATTTCATTTGTTATTTTTATCATTATAGAATACAATTGCGTATTACTCGAGACGAGTAAAAAAAGTGTTTTGGCAAACTCACATTGTATTTACTTAAATATTTAAAATTTTATATATATGAATTTAAGAACGAGTATAGATGCCGACGTGAACAATTTATATACCGCTATTTACCACGTGTAATGTGATTATGAGACATATTAAGAATCATAATCTCAGTGTGAAATATCTTCGCGAAACAGACTGCGACATCATTCATCTTATGTGTATACGCGATTAAAAGGAAACACGAAATGCCCGTATGATACGGGTCGTATCACTAGCGATTGTGTCTCTTGGAGATCTGCGTCCACGTTTGCGTCTCTTGATTAATCAAAAAAAAAGCTGCTGGCCAGCAGATCCTTTCTGATTGGTCAAAAGACGTAAACGCGAACGCAGACGCAATTTTCAATCGCTAATGTGATATCGGTAAAACATTAACGATCGAATAAACGATGCGTCGAACGTATCGCGTATAATATATTTATTATAATAGATTGCAGAGTATAATATATTTATTATAATAGATTGCGTATAATAATATATTTATTATAATAGGTTGCAGGGCGCAGACCGCAGGAGACGCAGGAAGTTGAGTAAACTTCAACTTTCGCGTCCTGCCTCCTGTGTTCCATTATATGCGTCGTCTACAATACACGGAGTAAGAAGTAAGAGTAAGAAATTGATCAACCACACTCGATTATTCTTCTCACATTCGACTGTGATTGGTCAATTTCTTATTCCGTGTATTGTACTAGACGACGCATTACTTATTGCGGCCTGCGACCTATTATAATTTGAAATACATACGTTTCACTTGCGACCTGCGTTCTGTGTGTTATACCTGCTATATTGAGTTTTAGCTATATAGGCCTCAGTAATACCTTGGTAATACACGTCATAATATGTCGAATTAAATAAGTCGTTATTAAATACTCGCAAGTGTGATGCACACTTGCGACTTGCGTGGCTAATCACACACACACGCAC